GGTGGAGAGCTGGGCTCGCTGCTCCCCTCGCCCTCTTGCCAGCTCTGCCAGCCCCCTGCCCCCTTCCCAGTGCTGCAGACGGGAGGGGCCTGGGTGACCTTGGGGCCCCCCACCCTCTGGAGCTGCCCCCCACCCTCTGGGAAGCAGAGCAGGGCTGGTGTCCTCGGCGTGACCACGGGGGCTGGCAGTGCCGGGGGGCTGTGGGGAAGGGGCTGACGGGTTCCTGGGGGCCGCAGCTGATGGATCCATCCCTCCATCCCTCCATCCATCCATCCATCCCTCCATCCAGCACCCCCTGGTCCATGCCACCGGCACGGGCCCCTCTGCCCCACAGCGTGGGGGGATCCCCCAGCCCTCCACCGCTTCTCTTTCCCCTCGGAGCCCCCTCCTCCCGGCTCCCTCAGCCCAGCTGGCCCGGCGCGGGGTCCGCAGCCCCCTCCCCGCCTCCCACGCCCCCAGCCCTGTTTTGTCTGCCGGCGAACGCGGCAGCAAGCCCAGCAATTTATTTCTCCTTTTTTTTTTTTTTTTTTCCCCCTTCCTCGGGCCGCTTGTTCGGTTCACGCTTGGCTGGGGCTGCCTTTCTTTGGCTCCCCTCACATGACGTGCAGGTGTGTATGGGAACCCTCGCCCGCCGGGCCCTAATTAGTGGCATAGAGTGTGACCCCCCGCCGCGCTTTTCACGGGCTCTGCCGGGCTGGGACAGGCCGGTGGGTTTGACAGCGCGGCACAAAGTGACACACGGCACAATGGGCAGGTTGTGGAGGGGGGAAACGGTCACTTAGGGACTGTCGGAAAAGTCCCAGGATGGCCCCGGGGCAGGAGGGTGGCTCGGGAGGAGGGGGTGGGGTCGGGCCGAGCGGGATTTTGAGCGCGGGGTTGCCGTCGGGGATGGATTCGTGTCCCATCCCCGGAACGGGGCCGGGTCACTTCAGACATCAGGAGTTTGGATAAAAACTCAGCATTTACGGAATCCTAAAATCCCAGGCTGGTTTGCGTTGGGAGAGACCTTAAAGCTCCCCCCCGGTGCCACCCCCTGCCATGGCAGGGACCCCTCCCCCCGACCGGGTGGATCCAAGCGCCGTCCAACGTCCTTCTGATGAAATCCATGGGATAACCTACAGACCTGCTGAGCCCCCTCCTCCTCCCTGTCCTTGCCCTGGGACAGAGGCTTTGGGGCACTTGGGGGCTGTTTATCTGCCCCATCTCCTATCTCTGCCCCAGCTGGGTCCCACTCTGTAATTTGGGATAGGGCTGAGCATCCCTCGCTGCATTCCCGCTCCAGAGGCCAAGGTGACCCTGCCCTGGGGACAGGACACAGGGAATGGCTTCCCAGTGCCAGAGGGTAGGGTTAGATGGGACACTGAGGAGGAATTCTCCCCTGGGAGAGTGGGCAGGCCCTGGCACAGGTCGCCCAGAGAAGCTGTGGCTGCCCCTGGATCCCTGGAAGTGTCCAAGGCCAGGCTGGAGCCACCCGGGCTAGAGAAAAGTGTCCCTGGGGTTGGCACTGGATGGGCTTTAAGGTCCCTCCGACCGAAGCATTCCATGATTCCCTGATCTCAGCGGTCCGTGCCCCCCCTCCGGCGGTGGGAAGGGGCCGCGGGCGCACTTTGGAGCCGAGCCCTAAGGCGGGCGCGGCCCGGGGGGGCCGGGGCGGAGGGGCCGGGGGGGGGCCGGCGAGGGCAGGGCGGGCGAGCGGCAGCAATTAGCGGCGGGCGGGGCCCCCTTTGTGCGCGGGGCCGTGTCCCCCCCCGGCCGGCGCGGTGGGCAGCAGTGCGTGAGCGCGGGCGCTAACGGAGATCGCATCTGACAGGAGCTGTGAATTTGGGGCTGGGGGTGTGGAAAGGCCAGGTTGAAAGACTTTTCTTTTCCCTCGGCCCCTCTCCCTCCGCCCCCCGCTCCCCGGCCGTGCCCCCGGCCGGTCGGCCGCAGCCCACCCACCCCGCCGGCCCGGCCCGGCCCCGCTCCGCTGCCTAATTATGGGAATTGGAGCTTCCCGGGGCTCCCCCGCCGCTGCCTCGGCCCTCCCCCTCCTCTGCCTCCTCTTCCTCCTTCTCCTCCACCTCCTCCTCCTTCACTTTTTCCATGCTGGATGGATGGATCGATGAAAAGAGGGATAGCTGGATGGAGTGGATGGTTAAATGGGTGGATGGATGGATGGAGGGATGGATGGATGGAGGGATGGATGGGGGGGATGAATGGGATGGGTGGGTGGGTGGAGGGATGGATGGATGGATGAATGAAAAGATAGATAATTATATATTGCATGGATAGTTGGATGGATGGATGGATGGATGGATGGATGGGTGGATGGATGGGTGGGTGGGTGGATGTGTGGTTGGGTGGGTGGATGGATGGATGGATCCTCCATCTCTGTGCCCAGGTTGCCCAGAGAAGCTGTGGCTGCCCCTGGATCCCTGGAAGTGTCCAAGGCCAGGTTGGATGGGGCTTGGAACAACCTGGGCTGGTGGAAGGTGTCCCTGCCCCTGGCAGAGGGAGGGACTGGATTGGCTTTCAGGTCCCTTCCCACCTAAACCAGGCTGGAATTCTGTGATCCTCATGCAGAAGTGTCAGGGGTCACTGGCACTGCCAGTTCTGTGCCCTGGCACGGTCTGGGAGAGGGGAGGGGGACACTGGGGGTGCAGTTGTGCCAGGGGGGTGACCCCACACTGCTCTGTGGGTTGTGCAGGGATTGGTGCTCCCCAAACTGTGGCCAGTGGGGAGCAAAGGGGACCCATCCCCTAGAAATGGAGTCCCCGGGGCTGATCCAGCTGGGGACAATGCCAGCACCACCTCAGGGACAGCCGGGGTGCTGAGGGGCAGGAACCCCCTCCCAGTGCCAGGACACGGCCCCCCCATCCCAGGGCCGGCAGGAGGGGGGGTGAGGAGCCCCGCAGCCGGCCCGGCCCCTCCCATCCCACCGGGATCAAGAGGGAATCCCAACCCCGGCGGGAGGAGAGGGGGCAGAGGGGTGAAAGGGCCCGGCGGGGTCAGCGAGCCCCGCCCTGCCAGGGCAGGATTTCGGCACTGACACATCCTGGGATGACCAAGGGCAGCTCAGGGCCGGCTCGGTGCCCCCACACCCACCGGGGCTGAGCCCAATCCCGGCACTCCCGGCCCTGCTGCCTCTCCTTGGGCTCCCGAACGGCCTCGGCCCCTTTGGCACCCTTGTCCTTAATGTCCTGGGTGCCTCCTGCCCCACGGGGGCCCCTGGGGGGCCACACCCCCAGCACCCTCCTGTCCTCACCTGAGTGCCACCCCGGGTGTGTCCCTGGTGCCCCGCGGGGTCTCGGGGCAGTGCCCTCTGCATCCCACCAGGACTCTCAAAGGATGGTGGTTTTAAACCAAAAGAGGGGGACTTAGATGGGAAATTGGGAAGAAACTCTTCCCTGTGAGGGTTGGGAGGCTCTGGCTGCCCCTCCCCTGGAAGTGTCCAAAACCAGGCTGGACAGGGCTTGGAGCAACCTGGGCTACTGAAAGGTGTCCGTGCCCATGGCAGGGGCGGCACTGGGTGACATTTAAGGGTCCCTCCCAACCCAAACCATTGTGTTCCATGACTCTCTGCAGGGCTGTGCCCATCTCAGGGGGTCAGGGCTGGGCCCGGGGGTTTTGGGGGGTGAGGGGTCTGTACCCGGGCTGGGACAGAGGACGTGGGGTGGGTGGGAAAGGCCTGGTGGGATGGAGACACCCTGCTGGGACCTGCAGGAGCCACTGGAGTTCCAGCAGGTCACCAGGCTGTGGTGGCACCTTGCTGGGAGGGGATGTCCCAAGGCAGGGAACCTCTCCTGGTGCTGCTGGAGGGGTGAGCCAGGGAAGCTGGGGGACAAGGGGAGGCCTTACTGCTGGTTGTGGTGACATTCCCAGTTGTGACATCCCTGCCAGGTGTGTGGGAACACCTCCAGGAGGTGACACATCCAGCTGTCACCAGGCACCGTGGCGGGAGTGACATTCCTGCAGGGTGGGTGCTCCAGGTCTCCAGTTCAGCTGCCACTGGTCACTCGGGCTGGCCCTGGGATAAGGAATGGGACAGCAGGATGGGGTGGCACTGCAGTGGGATGGATCCCAGGGTTTGGTGCTGCCAGTGCTGGGATGGGGGTGGGAGCACCTCCGGGACTGACGGTGTGTCCTTCCCTTCCCCAGCCTACAGGACGGTGTGTGGGGTCAACGGGCCACTCGTGGTGCTGGACAACGTGAAGGTAGGACCCTGTCTGGGGGGGTGACAAAGGGACACCTCGGCAGTGTCACCTGGGGCTGGCCAGGCACCACCGTGCTGTCCCCCCAGGGCTGGGCTGTCACCCAGGCAGGGGGAGGGCACCGGGGGGAGCTTGTCCCTCATCACCTCTCTCGTGTCCCCTGGGCTGTCCCCTCTCCCCTGTCCCACATCCCTTCTCCCCAGCCCTCATCCCCTGGGCTGTTTTCCAGGCTGGTCCCATGTCTCTCGTCCCCTGTCCCCTGGACTGGTCTCCTGTCCCGTCTCTCCTGTCCCCTGTTCCCCTGAGCTGTCCCCTGTCCCCAGCCTCCTCTCCACTGTCCCTTGGGCTGTCCCCTGGGCTGTCCCCTGTCCCCCGGGCTGTCCCCTGTCCCCCGGGCTGTCCCCTCCTCTCTGGGGTCCGAGCTCCCTCCTCTGGACGCGGTCGGCAGCAGAGCCCGTGTCCCCGTGTCCCCGTGCGATTGTCGTGTCCCCGTGTCCCCGTACGGGCGGTGTGTGCCCCGGGGGGGACGAGTGTACGCTCGACCCGGGGACACTGCGCTGCGGCCCCCGTGTCCTCCCCCCGTGTCCTCCCCCCATGTCCTGCCCGAGCTCGGCCCCTGCCCCCTGTTCTCCTGTGCCCCTGCCCAAAATCCAGCCCTTCTCCCCTGCCCAATCTGTGGCTCCTGTCCCTTGTCCCTTGTCCCCTGCCCAACTTCCAGCTCCCTCCGGGACCCCGCTCTGAGTGAGACCACGGCCCGTGTCCCAGCCCGGGGCGGCACCTTGGTGTCACCCTGCCTGTCCCTGCTCCCGGCGCAAGGTCTGGGCTCTCTTGGGTGGGCTCCGGGCCCCTGGGGGACCCTCCGAGGGGCTTTGTTGCCCGTTGGCTCGTTTCCATGGCCCCTTTCACGCCGAGCCCGGCGGGACGGGAATTAACCAGCTCAGTTAAAGAGCCAGCCCGTGGCGGGGGTTTCCTCGCCTTTGTCGTCCTTTATCCAAAGGTCTTTCCAGAAGAATTAAAGTCCAAAGTTCACAGGGCCGGAGGCAGCCCCGGTGGCGGCTGGGAGTGAGGAGGAGGAGGAAGAGGAGAGCCGGGAGTGTGCTGGGCAGGCAGGGCTGGGCGGGGGAGAGACCCTTTGGACGTTGTCTCCAGAGCAGGACGTGTCCCCTCAGCCAAAGAAAAGTCCCCTCCATCCGCCCCGGGGGGGTTGGGGAGGGTGGGTGGTGTCCCCTGGGGTGCCGTGTCCCACTCGTCCCCGTGGCCAGTGCGAGGTGGCACCGTGGTGGCCCCGTCCGTACCTGGCAGGGACTGTGTGAATTGGCGGTACCGGGACTGTCCCCATTGTTGGGAACATTGCCCAGTGTTGTGGAAGCCGAGGCAGGAGCGGTGCAGAGCCCGGAGTGGCTCCAGGACGGGGCAGGGACAGGCAGCACCTTCCCCCGGCCCCCCAGCGCTGTCCAGTGTCCCCCCTCAGTGTGCGGTGGCCTCGGGGAGCACAAACCCGCCCCTCAGGAGGGGAAATGGGGCAGCCTGGCAGGGCTGGGGGGGCAGGGGCGGGCTGGGGGGGCACAGAGGAGCCCCCCGCCCCAACTCCCCCCTGCCCTGTCCCCGCAGTTCGCCCAGTACGCCGAGATCGTGAACTTCACGCTGCCCAACGGCAGCACCCGCAGCGGGCAGGTGCTGGAGGTGATGGGCTCCAAAGCCATCGTCCAGGTGAGCCCGGGGGACACGCGGGACCACACGGCCCGGGAATGTGTCCCGGGGGCCTGGCCCGGGGCTCTGTCCCGCTGCTCTGTCCCAGGAATTTGTCCCAGGGCTCTGTCCTGAAGCTCTGTCCCGGGGCTCTGTCCCAGGGATCTGTCCCAGGGATCTGTCCCGATGCTCTGTCCC